GCTGGGGGCAGATGGGAGATGAGGGGCCCTCTGTAGGCCTCTGCACCCCAGCCCTAGTCCAAGGTGCCTCTGGGAGGTTGGGGGAGTCTTGCCAAGGTGGAGTTCATGGATGAGGGTCAGGCCTGTCGCCTGCAGGGATTCTGTGGCGGTGAGAAGGAGGGCCTTGGGGTCTGGAGATCTTGGGAGATGTCTAAGAGATCTCAAGGGGCCAGGAACAGGGAGGGCCCTGCCCCGAGTCATTCTTGGGGGAACTGAGGAATGGGCGCAGCCCTATCCACTGTCCTAAGCATGCAATTTGCAGCCCCAAACTTTCTGGCCTGGAAGCAGGAAGGAGGGCAAGAAAGAGGTATGGTGCACAGAATGTGTCTCTGAGACCATCATGGGGCTGAGGTTCTGTCCCAGGAGACCTGAGCTGAAGGACAAGGATGGTCCTGGGGAATGGCCTTGTTCTGCTTCGTGTCTAGACAGGACAGCTAGAGCTGGAAGACAGCTGAGACTCAGGCAGAGAAGGCAGTGATTGCCCTGCTGTGTGAGCTGGACCCACACATATGCATGTGCACACGCACACGCACACGCACACGCATACCCACACTCACTCAGCCATGTTTGCTTGCTCTCATTCTCTCTCTTCATCTCTCTTTCGCACACACACTTAAACATACATTTAAATAACTTGCAGACGTATATTAGCAAAAACATTCCATCTGGGCTGGGATTTCTCTCATTGCTTTGAATTCCCCAGGGTCTTAACTTGAAGAAAAAAAAAATAGGAAGAGGCAAAGCTTTGACTAATGTTGGGTTAAGGTTTTTTTCCTTACTCCTTTCTTTCTTGGTTACTGACTGCCAAGAATTTATGTTTGTAAAAGGAAAAGAATTAACTGTGTTGATTAAGAGGCAAACTCCCTGGAAATGTTCTCTCTTAACCCTTTGGTACCCTCTCAGCGAGGAGTGCCAGGGCTCTCTGGTATGGGGCTGGCTGTCCCTGGGCTGGAGGCCCAGAACCTTCCAAGAGGCTACTTCTCTTCCAAAAGAAAAGGGGGAGCTGAGGCAAACTGGGCCCTTCTGGAGCACAAGCTTGTGTGTGTGTGTGTGTGTGTGTGTGTGTGCACGCGCACGCGTGTGTCTTAGCAGATGCATGGGGAAGTGGTGTGAGTATCTGTGTGTGCGTGGGTACTGTAAGCTAGAGTGTGGGAGAGGCAGGCGCTGTGTGTGCACGTGTGTGTCCACGAGTGTGGCAGCTGCACACACGTGTGTTTCAGCAAACCTGGGGTGTACTGAGAATGTCGCGTGGTTTGCTGGCTGTACAGTAAAACTCCAGGAAGGTGGGGGGACCTTCACCTTGACCAAATTAGCAGGAACAGATTTGGCAGAACAGGGTCCTGAGGAGACTTAGTACAAAGCAGGTGAGCAGAGGAGTGGAGGGTGGGCAGGCTTTGGCCCAGTTAGCAGAGCTTTGTGATCTCCACCAGCTGTCACAACTAGTTGGAAGGAACCCGAACCCAAGGCTAATCCTGGACATCGGTCAGCATGCTTGCGTGGGGAGTGGGCCGGAGGGATTTTGCCTCTTTCCTGCCCCGCCTGAATGCCTATCCAGGGTCTTCCTTGCTTTTCTCTTCTGCAATGTCCTTGTCCCTCGAGAAGAGTGGGCCTTCCAGGATAGGGGCTTTGTCATCGCAGAGCAGACATGACTCCCCTGAGAGATGGTGATGCAGAGCTAGGGCTGGAGGCTCTGACCAGGGAAGGTGCCCGGGGGATAAAGAAGGGGTGCAGGAAGCAGACCTTCCCGCCTGTGCCTCCAGCCATCCAGAGCCCCTGGTAGTCCTCAGCCCTCCTGGCTTCCTGCTCCCAGGTGTTGCATAGCTGAGTCACTCTGATTCCTACCCACCCTTCAGATCTTGGATGCCGCTTCCTCCAGGGAGTCTGCCTCATCCCTCAGCCTTCACCATCTTGCTGGACAGCATCGGGGCACAGGGCCACCATCCAGGCGGTGTAACCCTTCTGTCTTACCTGTTTTCCCCACTGGTCCCCAGCCCCCTTGAGGATGAAGGCTCTGAACCCCAGTGCCTGGCATGCCACGTGGGCTGCTGACTGCTGAAAGCAGCATTTGTCACTACCATACTGTGATCTAAAGTTGCTTGTATACACACAAGCTCTCACAGTGACACCACGAGACCCTACGATTAACTACACATGTATTTAATCTTCCTGGGATCCAGTCTTAGTTATTCCCATGGTATAGAACAGCCTCAGGCAGAAATAAATGTCCAACAGTTGTTGAATGAATGAAAGAAGAACCAACACAAGATAAACATCCAAGAACACACCCAGAGGAATCTAGCTGTGGCTGTGGTCTACGGTGAGAGACTACCTGAGCAAGTTTCGATCAGGAAGTTACTGAGCTCCACGTAGTTATCAGCACTGCCCGGGCATCTTGTATTTATCTTTCCACTCTCCCCTTATCTTTACCCTGTAAGAAAGGGGCATTTATCTCATTTCATATTCAAGGAAACTGAAGGTAAAAAAGGATACATAACTTTCCCCAGTTCACCCAGCTGGTATGGGTTAAGCTGGGATTCAAACCCAAGTCTTCCTGACCCTAGAGCTTGTCTCCCACTCTACCGTATTTTATGAAGAAGGAAAGTTTTGAGCAGAGCTTGGGAAAAACAAGACTCATCTTTGGGGAGAAGGATCTCAAGCCCAAGAGGGAGGAGAGGAATGAGGGTTTCTGAGAAGGACGGATATTGGTTCTATGGTTCCCTGAGCTTCTGCAAGCTTCTGTGTGACCAAGGATGAAGGGGAAATGAACAGGACAAGGGTGATGAGGCAACCCAGGAGGGCAGCAGCAGAGCAGGGGTGATCCCAGGCAGCCCTCAAGCTCAGCCCTGCAGCCTCCTCTTAGCAGGGGTAGGACTTCCAAAAGGCTCAACGCAGATGCAATACTTGAGGGGCAAGCACCGTACCCCCACCTTGTTAATACATTTTAATTATTATTTTTCTTTGTGGTACTGGGGATTGAACTCAGGACCTCTGCCCTATGCTACATCCCAGCTCTTTTTTTATTTTAAATTTTGAGACAGGATCTCTGCTATGATTTAGATCTGTAATGTTCTGCCAAAGGCTCATGTGTTCAGAAGTTGGGCTTTTGAAAGGTGATTCAATCATGGGGCTCTATACTCATCAGTGGATCCCAGCACAGAGAGGTTGACAGGAGCCTTGTCACCGAGCTAGAGCTTGGTTAAGATCTGGTTGGAGGATAGCAGGAGTTGAGTGGAAGGAAAGACTTAAACCCCAAGCTGATGACTTAGAAAATCATTTGAGGTTGGGGAACACTTCAAACCAGAGGGGCAGGGATAGGAGCAGTCTCTGATGGTCTGTGAGGAAATTGTCCTTGTTTCAGAGCTCTTGGGATTCACCACTCCACCAATCCTATCCCCACCCCTTGAAGGGGGCGTGGTTCTCCCAAGGAAGCCCCATAGGATTATGACTTTAGTGAGTGTTTCTCAGCTGCTTCTCTGGATCACTCTGTTTCCTTTTCCATCTAGCCAGGGGCAGGAAATCCAAGCCAGGGTCAACAAACAGGACCTCCCCCTTGCTCTTGGTGAATGCCTGCTGCCCAGGGGACAGGGTGGACCCCGTTGGGTGGTCCCACTCTCTGTACCCTCATCTCTTTCTCACTTCAGGAAAGGCCTCCCAGACAAAGGAACTTGGAGCTCTTGATAGCTTGGCTCTTGCTTTGCCTTAGTTAGAAGCTGACTATCTTCTCCCAGCCATAGGCCTTTGGTAGTCTTGATGGCTGAGTTTCAGTGTCATGGGCTAGTCTCCTGCCCTTGTTCAGAAAGTCCAGAGATGCTTGGAAAGAATGCAACAGCCAACCTTTGGGCTCATGGGAAATGACGACTTTCATGTATGGTGCTGGTCTTCTGGTTTGTATTTGGGGTAGAAGGGGAATTTTGTATCTGGGAGATACATCAAAGCCGAGCTCAAGAGACATTTGCTCAGCTTTAGAGCTTTGCCTCTGGTTTCCTGGGCTCCCCTACATCTTCTTTCATGGCCACAAAAGAGTGGGTTCCATTGCTACCATCCCACTTCATAGGAGTTGCCAAGCAGCCTCCTGACCTAGCCTACATGTCACTGAGACACAATGTCTGGAGCCTGAAAATTAAAGGAAGAGAACTTTATTCTGACTCATGGTTACAGTCCATGGTCAGCTGACTCTAAGGAAGGACCCTCTGGCAAGGGGCCTGGCGGAGGAGAAGGTGCTTACATCATGGTGATAGGGAAGCAGTGAAGAATGGATCAAGCTGGGGAAAGAGATGAACCCTTCCAGTGACTCACCTCTTCTGACCAGACCCCACCTATAGCAAGTCAGCCATAAGCCCCTCTAATCCAATTACCTTTTAGAAGCCCCAGCTTTGTGCACATGAAGCCCTTGGGGTCATCCAGACATAAACCATAACATCAAGGTTCCTGCTCACATCAGCCTTATAGGAAGGCAGCTCAGAGATTATGGGTCTTTTCTTTTAGAGACAAGGAAATAAGAAAAGCTCAGGGACTAATGCAAGTCACATGGTTGCTGACTTATGTTGGTTGTACAGTTAGACTTCTAGGTGGCAGGACCAGAAGGTGTCCCAGGATGATGAGAAATCTCGACTCAGATGGATACACTTGAGAGTTTACAGCAACTGGAGGGGTGAGTGGTCACAATTCCCCTGTGCCCAGAAAGTCCCTTCCTGAGTCACTGAGCCTTTTTCAGCCTGAAACCCCAGCACCTTCCCTTTAGAGCCCTGGTGAGTCATCTCTCTTTGGCTCCACCTCAAGTGCTTTCAACCAGGCCTTCCTGGCTTTCATAGGATCTGACTCAGGTGGGCAGTATCAGCAGAAGCTTCTGGTTCAGGGCCCACACTAAACAAGAGGACGTGTTTGCGAAATTATTTGTGAAAGAAGAATGCAGTGAACAGTGTCGGGGTCGCTCCCGGCCGGCAGGAAAGACACACGACAGATTCTGGCGGTGTGCAACCTTGCCTTTATTTGTCTCCGCGTGGGCCCCGCGAGGCCTCCTCTCTGTCACCAGTCCTTTCTCGCCGGTGGACTTTTTCTATCTCTCTCTGTGCTTCCTCTCGTGGCGGGAGAGGCATTCACTTTTATAGGGCAACAGTAGCCAATCAGTTCAAAGCGCGCGATGCGGGCTGACTGGCTAACATCAGCTGTTGCTAGGCAGACTATCTTACAGAGCGGGTTGTTTAAGTCACCAGCGCAATCAGGGGGCAGGAAGCAGGCGCCAACTTGACTCACTCGATGGGAGGGGCAATCTAGCTCAGGCTCCGCTCCCACCCACAGGCCCTACGTCCGCCAAGTAAGGCGACCGGTGTCGGCCGCGGCTCCCAACAGAACAGCATCTGAAAAGAGACACACAAATCTGCAGGGGGTGGCAATAGTAACAACCTATAACACAACTGTATGAACAATTACACCTTACCTTTCTGAGACACCTGCTCCCAAAGAGCTTTAAGTATGTTTAAGTTTATTAGGCTATTTGATCTCATAAAAGTCCCACAAATAGGGTAGTGATAGTTATGAATGCCATTTTATAGATGGGAAGACTGAGGCCTGGAAATATATAAATGATTTGCCCAAGGCTCTACAGCAAGCAAGGAAGGAAGTGGGCATGTGTCTGTCCTGTTTCTCGAGGTGCGGGGTGCTTCATGCGTGGGACTCCCTCTTGGTGTCTACATTCCTGTGAGGTAAGGCGTGGACAGAGAGGTGGATGGCAGCAGGTTCAGAGGCTGTTCCTGCGCACGGTCACTCCTTGAGTCAGGCACCTTATTTTGAGGTCCATTTCCTCTTTCACTTCCCCAAACAATTGCTGGGGAGTGAGCTCACTTGTCACATGGCCTCAAACCAAGAGCTGACAGTATGAGCACAGTGGGCCCTGAGGGGTTAATAATAGTGACCAGAAAAGAGCCCAGTGCCCCTGTGCTACACTCCTGGCCTCCTGGCCCATCCACCCCCAGCTGGAGGAGGGCTTCTCTCTAGCCTGTTCCCACAGCCTCCTCGCCTGTTTCCTGACCCCAGTCTCTTTCCCATTTAGTCTTCCCCATGACTGATCTGTGGACAGCTCTCCTCCATCTCTCAGAGGCTGTCCCTGGAATCTTACTGGCCTCAATTTGGCACTCAAGGCTCCACCCACTCCAATCCCAAAACATCTTCCCACCCTGGGCTCCACCTCTCATCCTCGGGTACGAAACTGCCTTTGGTCAGGCTGGAGACTGGCCTCGACATGTTTTGTGTTTTCTCAACTCCCAGTTGTCTGCCATAGCATTCCCTTGGCCTGGAAAGCCACTCCCACGCTCTCTGGATTTTTACCCATCCTTCAAAGTCTATGACAAATGTGACCTCCTTCATGAAGCCCTCCTGATGTCACCACCAGGAAACGATCTCTCTCTTCTGGGATACCTCATGTTTCCTGGTACACAGATCTGTACACAAACAATTTTCTATGTCTTGTAGTGACGGTGTAAAGTTTTGGGTGTTTACAGAATGACAAAGATTGTGGGATTCTGCATCGCGGCTCGGGCACCTCTGTGTCTGTGTGTGAGTGTGAGGGTAAGGGGCACCTGTACTTCAGCAAAGAATGGGCCACTTGTGTCAGTCACTTCTGCTCTGCCAATGAACAGACAGCCAGGTTTGATTTTCAGAGGACAGAGGACACTCAGTAAGTTCCATAAACACACCTGGAGGGAAAAGAATGGAGAGGAGGAGGAAGCGAATGAATGTGTACAGCTCGTTCCCTTGTGCCAGGCACGGTGGGAGAGAGGAAACTTCCTTGTGAGTAGTGTGCTCACTTAACCCTCCAGAAATTGTGGGGCAGAAATTGTTGTCCCCATTTTATAGATGAGTAGCACCAAAGGTCAGGCTCGCGGGGCACGTGAGTTAGGTCATGCTCACTGAGCCCTCTGCCAGAGGGTCATGGAACAGGGTCAGCAGGAGATGAGAAACGGCAGGAAGGGTGCTCCCAAGGCTTCAGCTGCTTCCATGGGGAGCACTGAAGCTTGGGTGGCCCTTCAAAGATGTTAGCCTTATGAGCGATGGGGCTGTACCTTTGTATTCCTGGGAACGGGCATAATTTGAGCACGTGGAGGCCTTTGGTCAAGGGCAGTTCCTGGAAAGCAATAGCATCCATACAGGGACTGCAGACCAGAGAAATACCTGCCATTTCAGCACAGCACAGCAGGCAAATGGGCCTGCCTGACTCCTGACACCCACAGGCTTTGTCCTGATGTCTTCTATGGCTTCTAATCCATCTCAGAAGTGACCCTGGCCACTCTGTGTCCAAGAAGCACTGTCAACTATGAATGGAAGACCACACCCAGAAAGACCCCTGAAAGGAATGGTCTCCCCCTTTCCTGAAAGATCTCAGACAGATCTAGTGTCACAGGAGCCATGAGAAGGTAGGTGTGAACCCTCTTCTTGCTATTTCTGTGGCTGTCTTGTTCTTAATCACACTTGGGGAACTTTGGTGGTGGAATCTGCATGTGATATTCAAAATATTTCAGCAACCTGGTAAACACCCAGAATACCATAGTAGATATTGGCAGAGTGGCCCCTGGTACATTCCAGATGAACAATGAGACCTGGGGGCCCTGGGACATCACAACCAGGGCTCTCTGATTCAACCCAGAGGAACAGTTTGGTTCAGCATGTGAGAAAGAGGCATCGTCTATACTGGAGGCTTCTTCCCATTGCCGGTCCTGTGTGTCGGTCTGCTCTGTAGTCTCCCATGCCTGGCCAAGTTTGCTACGTGAAATCTGTGTGACTTTGGGTAAGAATCAATCACCCTGCTGTGGACTCATTTACTAAAATGAGAAGTTTTCAGACCTGTTTCTCCTTGAAAGGAGAATCTGATGAAGTCCCCCAGGGGATGGGAGTGCGTGGGCCAGGGCTGGGCCTCCTACCCTACTTCAGCTAGAGCAGCTCACCTTGTATTTGTTTATGCCTCCATACGGTTTCACTTAGAGCCCACATTCCTGAGCTAAAGACAAAGCTTAGAAACCAGCAGGCTGCATATGATGTCTGAGGCCCTTCATATGGAGTTCTGGCATGCCAGATACAAGAGAGTGAACTAACAGATGGATGAATGAATGAGTGAATGGATGGATGGATGGATGGATGGATGAGTGAACTCTGTCCACCTAGCCGACACAGGCCAATTCCTAACCACATCTGTTCTTAAAGCAGGTGGCCAACTGACCTGAGGCCTCTGGAAAGCTACATAGATCAGACACTGATCCCGAAGTCCTGACAATTACCAGAATCTGCGTATCTCCCCCCAACCCAGGAGACGCCACCCTTTAGGCATCTTGGATGCCACCAGGTCTGAACTGGAGAGTCACTAGCAGTGAATTCTTCAGCACTTGTCACCTTTGACTTTCCCAACATGTTGACTCAGCTGAAAACTTCTGACAACAACAGTGCCAGTCACCGAGTCACGGGGTAGGCCTTGCTGGTAGGCTAGGCTCGGCAGAAGAATCAGTAGGTTTTCTCTGTGTGTGTCCTGAGGTGTGGCCCCTGTTGGGACTGCAGGCATCTGCCTGCGTCAGTCTCAGGAAAGGGCTCCCAATTTGGCCTTGCTTTTCTTTCCATCATCCTCTCCTTATTTCCTCCGCTTCCTTTCCATCCTCCTGTCATTCTTCTAAGGCAGGTGTGTTTCACCCTTAGCTGTGCTTGTTAATTGCCCAGGGAAACTTAAATATTACTAATGCCCAGAAATTTTTACTACTTGGTTTGGGATGTGGTGTAGGCAGTAGGACTTTTACAAGCTCCCCAGATAATCCTACTCTCCAGCCAAGGTTGTGGTCTGAGGTCACAGAGGTGGGATCTCAACTTCAGTGCAGAGATTCAGGTGTGTGAGCTGGATTTGCAGAAGTTTGGGGCACAGGCATCTCTTAGCAGCAGAGGAAGGAAATGTAACCTTCCCACCTCCCCCTTTCCCACTCTCCTGTGAGACCAGGGAGGCCAGTCCCATTGGGTGTCTGGGTGGGAAGGTGTGGAAGGGCAAGAGGACACCTCAGAACTTACAGAGGCTCCAGTGCACCCATGGCACCAGTGCCATTCCAGAGCCTCAGGTGCTGGTGTTTTGGGGGACTTTGAGACCTCATCAAAGGCCTGGGCAGTGGCACTGTCACAGGCCCTGCTAGCAGCAAGGCCTACCCTGCAGTGACCACCGGCAGCACATTCAAAGAGTGGAACAGAGTGAGGACAGGGAACTTTGGTAAGATGTGGCATCTGCTCTCAGTGACAGTCCTGTTCATGAGCACATGTGGTATATGCCTGGGGGAGCCCCAAATCACAGAATAAGCTTACGGCAGATGGGAACAAGCACAGTGAAAATCTGCTCATTTCATAGAGGGGAGCCCATCTGGAGGTGTGGGATGGTGAAGTCTGGGGACAGTGGGTCACAGATATAAGTCACAATCATGAAACTGTCTGGTGATGCCAGCCATGAGTAAGGTCTGGTTGACATTTGCCAGCCTTCTCCAAACTTGCCCCAGAGTAGTTATAGCCTCCAGAGTAATTTTCCCTCTGCAGGGACCGAGCAATCAGGGGTCCTCTTGGTACGCCTTTCCTGCGTCTATGTTCTCAGTGTGAATTATTTGCTTTGCTTCCTGTGCAAGTTTTCCCTCTTCTTTTAAAATCACATTCTCTCCTAAATTAGCAAACCTCTTTAATTGTTAGCAGGAGCTAGGGCTCTGTTCCTTTGCATGGACAATATCATTAAACGTTGGAAAATAAACAAACTGGAAAAGTTTAAGACATTTTCAAACCCTTTGTTTCCCAGAGGGCGTCTGGGGCCCGGGCAGGACAAAGTTCTGCTGGCCTGGGTTTATACTGTGTTGATGACTTGACCCCCTCCAGCTGTGAGAAGCCAAACTGACAGCGGGGTTGTTTTTACTAAACTTCCCAGGACCGCAAACTTGATTTGGGAGGCATTTGTACTGATTTGCGCCGAGGTCTCCAGCGACTGCATGGAGCTTCCTCCTCGGGCAGAGTGCATGCTGGGAGTGGGCCAGTGGCTCTGGTGGCTGACAGCTGTTGTAAACCATCGCTGTCCTCAGTGATTCCACAGGGTCAGGGGAGTGGAGAACAGGGGAGAGGACGGGGTGGGGGAGTGGCAGGGGGGTGTGAGAACCCCTTTCCATTTTGCTGAAATGTGAGTCTAATGAAATGATAATGAGGTTGTGGCCTTTAAGCTCCATTGAACTTCTTGAGCATTGTAATTTTACCCAGAGTGGAGCTAGTTTTTGAAATGATTAAAACTATCGATTCTTAGGCCTGCGTGGCCTGAATCAGAATTCATTAGAGGCCTGGAGGTGAGGGATAAACATTTTTCCTCAGTTCC